CGCGTGCGATGTGATGGTCATCAGTTTTTGATTGAAACCGTCTTTGCACTCTCCCGCACCCTCAAGTAATGCAGTTGTCTCCGTGCTCGCATCTGGATTGCCTCCGCGAGCACCGTCCCCCCCCCGATTGCATTTCTTGCCCCCCCTTGCGCACCTCCCGCCCCCGCGCCCCTGCCCCCCCTTTTCCAGGCCCTCCCCCGCCTCCAGTAGCGGGAGGTAGCGAGCTGTTAAAGGCCGGAACCGCGCGCCCACCGTTATCGCGTTCTGGGGTCAGTGGCCCCCCTTCGCTCTCCCGCCCAACCTTTCCGTGCCCCGCGTTTTCTTCGCCCCGCCGTTGACGGGCCGCTGATGAGGGCGCGCCGGCGCCCCCCTGGCGACGAACGACGGTAGGCGAGAACCGAGAAGCGGTGCGCATCATGCTGGATGGCTGGGCCTGGCCCTTCAGCGCCATCTGGCGGCGGCGAATCGGAAGCTGCGATCGGACCAGGGGCGAAAGGTAGCTCCGTCGCGTCATGCGCAGCGCCGCCTGCGCTCCCTCATTGGCCTCGCCCCCGAGCACCTCGCGAAACGCGCGACTTCCCCCGCGAGGGGCCCATCGGTTTAGCATGGCTGCGATGATGTTGGGAACGTTCACGACCCCGCGTCTGCAGACCACTTGCGGGAGCTCTGCCAAGTTGATGTCGATGCGAGGGTACCTACCTGTCCATGTCTACGTCGCGATTGTCGCTCATTAGCAATGCGCGCCCGCAAGCGCAAGCGCGCACGGGCGCGCATCACGCGACGCAGCGCCGCGCAGCACGCCTCGAGCCACAGCGCTGATGCGAGCGAGCCAATCTAAATCCGCCCCCGAACGCGCGCGAAACTGGGCCCTCCTCTGCGTCGTGGGTGGCGAGGGCATCTCGCATGTAGGCGCCAGCTAGTGTTTCTGGTGTGTTCGAGACGCCGCTTTCAATCTGATCAAGCGTGTACTCGCTCTAACTGACCTGCTGCGCGTAGATTGCCCACGCGCGTTGCACATTCGACATGTAGGCCCCGATGCTTCGTGAGACTTTGCTCGCGCACGGACGATCCAATCAGACAGCAGGACCTGCAGATGGACACGGCCGCGCATGTAAGCATGTGCACGGGCACAGTCTAAGCAAACCAGCGCGTCAGACATTTGGGACTTCGCAGCAGTCGGTTCTGTACCTCCTGCGCCCATGCCACACTGCGAGTCTAAAAACATGCGAAGCCAGCGCGCGCAATTCAAACCTTCCCATGGCGGCCAGGAGCACGCAGCGCCAGACATCCCCCACCAAGCACTGCTGGGTTTCGCGATGCCAGCGCGCTCATGCGCAATCAGGGCCGCTTAGGACCGCGCACAGTTTCGCAGGGGCTCGCATTGCGTGGCATGACGATCGCTTTGCGAATGGGGCCGGGGTCGCGCGGGCGTGCAAATCAATCCGCGCTCACGCGCCTCACGAACTCCAGCTGCAGCACCCACATGATGGTTCAGGCTTGCAGTTGTCAGTGCGTGTTCTGAGATGCGGGCGCACTTGATTCATCGGAGAGTTCCAGTCCTGGGAACTGTCTTGACACAACGCACCTGGTGCGAGTGCGACAGCGCATTTAAAATAAAAATGTGAGTTCGAGGCGAAAGAGGCTGAAGCGCACGCGACAATGGTGCGTCCAACCTGCTCTGGGTACGCAGACAACTCCTTCAAAGCCTCGCGGACGCCGTCGACGGAACCTCCGCTTGTTTGTGCACGGCCTCACTCGGGGCCGCAGCGCGTCAAGTAAATGGGGACCCCAACGCACCCTCCTTACCAGGTGCGCATGCACTAGACGCGCGCCCAGGGTAGCGTGCAGCTCCAGCTCAAGTTGCTCGTTAGAAGGCGCGCCGAACTGATGTGACGAGGTGGAATATCGCTGCCTGAGCCCTGCGCATATTGCATTGGATACCCACGGCACGTTGTATAAAAGACTTGCGGGGTTGCTCGATGGCATCTTCAGGCCAAGCTCCTGGCCTTGCGGGAAGCACGCGAACTGCCAGCTCCCTTCGTCGACCTGTCATCTTCCTTGTCATAGACTGCATCCCCCTCCGGGCCTGTGTTGGCTGATGGGAATGCGGGTCTCGCACTCGAGGTCGCGGATCATTGAGTTCATGTTGAATTCGGCCATGTGCCCGTCCTTTTCGACCCCGTCACATTTTTTTTTTCCAAGGATAACCGCATGGACGCAATGTCGCAGCTCTGAAACTCGCCGACCTCAGCGCGCCCTCCAAAGATCTGGGACTCACCAGGATGGGCGCGGCGTCTTCACTGACTGGGGCGGCGGCAGTCGCAGCCGCCTGGGGAGTGACCAGCGGCGCACCGCTGTCGGAGTCTGAGGCATCTTGGCAGGGAGCCAGTCCTTAACGAACCCTGGACTTCCTAGCATTAGTAGCCAGATCAAACTTCCCAGACCCCCGACGTCATGATTTCTTCATAACGTCGACCCCCGAGGTCTCGACCCATTATTCCCCAGGACCGACGTTTTACCCCGAGCTGTTTTCTCCCAGCCCCGAGGCCCGGCAATGGCACCCGGAGGCCGAAAATAGTGACAACGTGTGCGCCGTTTTTTTTCAGTGTTCAAGGGGGCCTGGGGCCACTGAGCACCCTCACAAACGTCGGTGTGGGGGTCGCCATCGGCCTCGTCATCACACTCGCACTCGCTGCGGGCACTGCTAGCAACGAACCCTGCATATCTCGGTAGCAAAGCATCGGGGCCTGGCATACCCTTTGTCTGCAACGTCGGTTTAGCGTTCAGGAGGCGATGAGGTAGCGCTGATTTAGCGTCGGCTAGCGTCGATGAGCGTCGATGCAGCGTCGACTAGCGCCCACGCAGCGTCGACTCGCAAGCGCCGGCAAGATGCTCCAGGAGGCCCCCACGAGTCGCCACCGAAGGGACCCGTGCCTGAGAGGGGCCCGGCGGTGCCGTGCCAGCTCTCCAGCAGCTCGGCGCTCAGGGAGCGCGGCGCGGCGCCCAGAGAGCTCGCGACACGCGAACGGCGGACGCTGGGCGACGAGGGCCCCTGAAGCTCAACTTCGCCCATGGGCCGGCCTGTCCTGGGCCTGCAGCGACCAGTGCGGGCAGCGTCGAGTGGCAGCGGAGGGCGGTGCCACTCGTGCGCCGCGCGCGCAGCTGAGCCGCCCGCGGCAGGTCCCGCCACCGCGCCTGGGCTGAAGGTGGGATCTCGAGGGAGGCCTCTCGGAGCCTCTTGGAGGCAGTTTTGAGGCCTCTTGTGGGGGGCCGTTTGGGTGCCTCTGTTGGGCCTCTTGCGGGACTCTTGGGGGCCTCTTGAAGCCTCTTGGGGCATCTTGGGGGCCTCTTGGGGCGGAAGGCTCGGATTTTCGGCTCGTGTTCCCTCTCTTGGGCCTCTTTTTGGGCGCAGCAGTCGTCCTACAAAGCCGACCTGATCAGTGGACTGCCGCAGTCGCCTCGGGCGTCGACTTTGTTGTTCTGACGCTGTAGCGCGTTGGCCGTTGGGGCGGAAATGAGCCCGTGGCGATGCAGGTGGGGTGCACCGCGAGCGCATGTCGTACAACCCAGATCTCCGACTATACAATTTGCCTTGCCCATTAGTTTTTTGTCTGGTTTCGACCTTCTGGGGCCGCTTCCCGGCGCAAACATCAAAATTCGGCGAGCAAGACCTCCTGGGGGAATGGGTCAGGACCCCTCGGGCAGTGGACTGGAAAATCAGATCGGCGGATGAATGGGAATGTGTTCTGCGTGTGGGTGCCACATGATTCCCTAGCGTATCGCCCCTCATAGTACGCTTCCCTTCCCACGGCTCAACATTCACAGTGGGTGACTGCAGGTTGTGTGCGTACGCAGCACTTCGCAGTTGAATGCAAAAGCTTGGTCCCATAAGCCGCTGTCTCCGCGTAGCCGCGTCGCCGTTCCTTTCGCATGCAGTCAGTATCCTCCGCTTGCTGCTCTTGACGCTGCTAGAGATCCGCTCCAAATGGCAATGTTCCTAACACTGGAGCGCAGGCGTACTGAACATTTTCCGATGCGCAAGCGCATTCTATGCTGTCCCATCGGTCCGGGTCTTGCGAGTCGGCTTTCAAGGCAGCTGCACAGGGGGGCAGGTCGTCGCATCCCTCTTCGCCGTAGAATGGGGTTCTTTGGTGTTCCAAACCCGACAGCGAGTATTTCTGCGTGGGCGTCGTGCTTTGGTCGTGGTGCCCTCTCTGCCGATGCCCCGTCAGGATAAGGCACCGCATGCGCAGGGCATCTGCCCGGGAACCCCTCTTCCAGTCTGCCCAGGCTCATGTTCAGTCGCGCCTCCTCTGCGAAACGATGAGGGCGCACCCTCCGACGTGCGGCTGGCCTGGCTTCTTTTACTTCTCCTCTCTCCTTTCCCTCCTCGCTCGTTCCTGCTCCTTCGCCTCGCTGACGCTGCCTTCTCGTGTGGCGTTCCCGGGTTGCCCGGCGGTGTTCCGTCTCACGTCAGATTGTCGGGCCGAACGAAAGGGGGGGATAGGGAAAGGGGGGATTACGAAATCTGCTGCGTGCAGCTGGTTTCGGCCCCGCCGCCGGGCCCGTTCCTCGATGCATGGGCGCCTCCCGGCGCCGGGAGGCGCCGGGAAAATCAGCCACGTGAGCTGATTCTCTACCCTACCCTTTGCTGTTCCCTCCTTTCGTTCCCCCCGAGATTGGCATTCGTGCTGTGCGTGTGTGTGTGTGTGTGTGTGTGGTGGGTGTGTGTGTGCGTGCGTGCGTGCGTGCGTGCGTGCGTGCGTGCGTGCGTGCGTGCGTGCGTGTGTGTGTGTGTGTGTGTGTGTGTGTGTTGTGTGTGTTGTGTGTGGTGTGTTGTGTGTTGTGTGTTGTGTGTTGTGTGTTGTGTGTTGTGTGTTGTGTATGTGTGAGTGTGTGTGTGTGTGTGAGTGAGTGTGTGTGTGTGTGCGTGTGTGTGTGCGTGTGTGTGTGTGTGTGTGCGTGCGTGGATACTGCCATGGGAAAAAACCTTTGCGACACGACGAGGGTGCAGGTGTGCCGCTCGATCCCCCCGCAGCCCACACGCAACAGCCCACACGCAGACGTGGGCGGCGGAAGATAGCGGGGCCGGCTGCGCCGAGGCTCGCGCGCGAGCTTCCCGCGCAGGGCCTCGCCCGGGTAGCGCCCTGGTTGCCCATGCAGCGCGCCGCGCTGGCGGCCCCTCGCAAGCTGCGGCGCAGGGTCGCCGTGCCGTCTCGCGCAAGACCCACCACCTACCACACCACCCCAAGCCAACCCGAAGGCCCAAATTGGCCCTCGATTTCCAGTGGGGGTCGGGGAACATGGAGAAAAACACATATGAAACCCGTACCCCCCCCAACCCGAAATTCGGGTCAAATTCGTGTCTTCGGGTTGGGTTGGGGTGGTCTGGTAGGTCGTCAAAGACACGTCTTGGATCCTCGCCCACATGGAGCCATGGCCCAACTGTCGCAGGCGACTTCGGGCTTCGCCCGCGGCTGCGGATGTCCGACGGCCAGCTCCAGCAATCAAGTCTTCAGTCGGGCGTGTCCCTCTACAGGAGGGAAATTCAAAAATTGCCCCAAAATAGTTTTGTCAGGATTTGTTTAACTATTTTTGCATATTTTCGTGTATTGTTTGATTTTTTCTTCCGTCCGAAAATCCCCCTGTAGGAGGACACGCCCGACCTAAACCATGGCCCAATTGTCGGAGGCGACCTCTGGCTTCGCCCGCAGCTGCTGATGTTCGACGGCTGGCTCCGGCAATCAAGTGTTAGGTCGGGCGTGTCCCCCATACAGGCAGATTGTCGACGACAAATTGAAGATAGTTAAAAAATATTGCAAAATGGCAAAAAATAATAGAAACATCGTCCCCAGACTATTTTTTGACTATTTTGAAGAGTCCTCCTGTAGAGGGACGTGCCCGACTTCAATCAAGTGCCGCTCGTCTCGCCGCACAGCTGTGGAGCGCCTGCCTCTCTGGCGCCCAGCGAACTGCGGCAGAGCCCGCGACGCACAGGCCAGCAGCACTGGCGAATCAGGCGCCAACCTGCGCTCCTCGAAGAAAAACATAACCACACAAACCTAACTGTTCGGCGCTCCGCGCAGATTTCTTGGATCCGCGCCTGGGCCCCCCGGCGGCGCCCTCGGCGCCGAGCGCTCCGCGCGCCAGGGAGGGGGGGCCCAGCGCGGGTCCCAGGAGTCCGCGCGGAGCGCCAAAAAGTTTATGCTTATGTGTGGTTGTTTCTTCTTCCAGCTCCAGGGCGATTGGGACGCGCACCTCTTTGCGGAAGCGGCTGCGTGCGCCAGTCTGGAAGTCCACGCTTCCCACGCCGACTCCATCGGGCTCGGTGGCGCTAAGCTTCCCGTCATGTTTGAGGCCGACCGTTTGCTGTTGGCCTGGAGTCCAGCTGGTCTTCTCTCGCACGTCGAGGCCCAGTGCGGCAAAAGCATGTGTGGAGTCTGTTGGCATGCCTTGTGGAAGTCTGGTACCTTTCTCCCTTCACCTCTAATTATCTCATCCTCGTCCTTCCCCGCCAGCTGCGCAACATTTATCGGCCACGCGGCCGGGACACGTTCGGCTCCGTTCATTCTTTTGGGCCAGATACGTTTCAGGGCATTTTCGTAACTTCGGTCATCTGGCAGATCTCTTTCTGCCTCTGTCTCACTCGTGCGCACAGCGTTGGAGGTAGCTCAGTGGTTTCACTATGGCGTCGCCGTGATTGACATCATTATGCTGTGTCCGCTCCTTGATGGGAGAAACAACACATTCCTCTCTTAGTATGCCTCACGCTCCTCCTTTTGACATTGCTGCTGCGCCTCCTCTTCACGTTGTGTTCACATGTTGTATGTCATCATTTTGATCCCCGTGGCACAATCGCGATCTGATTCGCATGCTCGTCAGCACCGTGTGGCGATAGTCGAAATGCGATGTTGTCAGACTACTTCGAGTGAACAAGCGTGACGAGAGTGCCGTACGTAGAGATGAATACAAGCATTGAGATGGCCGATGTTGGTTACAAACATGTAAGGTGCGTAAGTGGCTCACTACAGCGTGCATTGTTCCTGAACTGGCCGTATGATACATTGATATTTGCTCATATGTGTGCGACATTATTGTTTGGAACACGTGTGTGCCAACAGACATCGGCAGTCATGCATTGCGGATACATGTGGCATGCGCGATGTAGGCAGAATTAGGTTCTCTGCTTGCGTTTCGCGGCGACTGCAGCAGTAGAAGCCTTATGCTTCGTTCATGTGTTTGCACAAGCGTTTGCAGTCTTGGTTGCCCATGCTCTCAGGCTGCCTGAGTAGAGAGGGCCGTCAAGCGCACGTGAGTCCTACGTTGGTGCCGAATTAGAATGTTTAGTTCCCATGGACTATACAACATAGTTCTCATCAGCGTTGGTACCCACACTCCAATCAATACGGTTGCGCGTCGCCGCCAACTTACCGCCAAATGCGGGTTTTGTTACGCCGTCTTCTCCGAATGGTATCCAGATGGTGGCTACGGAGTTCTTGCCCACTCTCTAGCGACCTGATTGCATGTGGCTGCCCCGTATTCCACAGTTACCAGTGCCCGTTCGAGGTGCCCGCGTGTATCACTAAGGTGTTCCTTGATTTCCGCAGGCATGTGCAAGTCACATATGCTTTACTCCAGATTTCGTAATACAAGGGAGGGTGTCTGGACCCTCCAAGACAAGCCATTTCAGACCTCCCCCGTGGGAGAACCCTCCAAAACATCGTCCCCAGACCCCCCAGGTCCTCCAAGATAGCCTGTAAGAGACCCCCCTCCGAAATGAGACCCCCCTCCCTTTATTACGAAATCTGGAGTACCCATCTTGTGGTAGTGTGGTCTTCGCATCGCCCTCCCGATTCACCAACCAGCGTTTGCAAGACATGTCTTTTACGCAGCTGCCGAGTCGTCACTGTGTGGATGGGCGGCGGGTTTTCGCGTGGAGGCCGCCTCGCGACTCGGCCGCCCTGTGCGATGGCTGAGTCTTCTGGGGTATTCGTCGGGCGGCCGCCCCCTGGCCGCTCCGTGAGTTGGCTGAGTGCTCCAGGTGTTCGGTCTCTGGCCGCTTCGTGGCCGCCCTGTGCATTGGAAGGGGACTGAGATCGACCCTGCACGTTCGCCATTTCCGTTGTGTCCGCTAGGACCCCTTCAGCGCAAGGGAATGAATGATCATTCACAGTGGGGTCGTTTAGAGTAGGGTAAAGCGGTGTAGAGTAAAATGGCTACGAAAGGGAAAACACACAGCAGAGCACAGTGTGAGTGGGGTAAGCAGTACGGAGTGGAGCAGGGTGGGGTGTTGAAGGGTTGTTTCAGTTTTTCTAGGGAATCGACGATGAATTGTGTATGTATGGTTTTCCCCTCCCGAGGTGTGCAGTGGGCGGGGGGCAGGGGTGGGGCATGCAGGCCAGCGCGCCGCAGCCCGGGCGCGCGCAGGCGGACTGGAGTATAGATCAGCGCATCGTGCGCGTGACCCCTGTCTTGCCGGGGGCGGACAGAGCCCCCCAACAGTGTCTCTCGGGGGCCCCCAAACGGGGTGGTGACCGCACAGTGTGGTGAGTCGGTGGGGATCCGGGGTCACCGCACGGTGTTGGGACTCGGGCCGCGCTTGGAGGACGTCTCGGGCGACCGGGGCCTCCAGGGTCCCAAAACCGTGCGGCGACGGACCCTGCGGTGAGGTCTTTGGGGATTTCGAGGTCACCGCCGGGTCTGTCACCACACGGTGATGGGACCCCCAAGTGACACGTCGATTAGTGAATTGTCCGTTTTCGGTTCTCGAGAGGGCGCCGTGGCCGTTATTTTCCAGGCTTGCGCCCGCCAGGTTTGGGCCTCGGGTCGTTTTCACTAAACCACGTTTTACTAGAGGGGGGTCTGTCCATCCCCGAGTCTTGCCTCGTGCGCTGCCCAAGAGGTCATACTTGGCATCGCTCGGACGTGTGCATTTTTTCTCGGCGAGGGCCATCGAGGAACATCTCTGATCATTTAGCCAAAAAACACGCGCGAAATCGAAAAGTGCACGGGGAATGGACGTCCGAGCGATGGCTAGCACACGTTTAAGTCGGACCTGTCCCTCTACAGGAGGAGTAGTAAACACAGTCAAGAAATAGCCTAGGAACTATGTTTGTTGTTGTTGGGCATTGTTTGAATATTTGATCGCTTCGCTCATTCCGGCGGCCCTGGAGCACTATTTGGGGCATCTTGGGGCCGTCTTGGGGGCCTCTTGGGGGCTTCGTCTTGGGGCTGCTTGGCGGCGTCTTGGGCTCCCCTCGGGCCTCTTAGGGGGCTCTTGGGGGCCCCGTGGGGCGGGAGGGGGGGTAGTCGATTGCAGCCACCCCCTCGGAGGCCACGATCCTCGTGAGGGGTGGCGAAAAATAGCCTCCCCCCTGGGGATCGCCCGGGACCGGCCGGGGTATTTTTCGTCCGGGGGCCCCCAGGGGCCGCCCCGCGCACGCGAACTAGAAATATTGTTAAGTAGTAGTCTGGGAACTATGTTTGTTGTTGTTGAGCATTGTTTGAATATGTGTTATTTGTCGTCCAAAATCCCCCTGTAGGGGGACACGCCCGACTTAATCATACGTGGAGTTAGCTCCAGAGGACGCGCAGGCAGCATGTATGTGCAGTGCTGTGGCCTTGTTCTCTTTCCTGGGGGTTATCCTTTCCCTGGTATCCTCACTGCCGTGGGTGCTGCCGCACCTCGTTGGATGTTGCTTGCCGACGGTGCCCAGTAGGATTCGGCATCGGCACTCGTGCAGCCCAAGCGGCTGCGAGCGAATTCTGTTGCAGTTGCGCATGTACAGATATCTGCGACGCGCCCGCGCCCGAGCGCGTGGCGGGGCGCGCGGCGTCGTGCAGCTCCTGTGGGAGAGGGCGGGCGAGGAAGGGAGAGAGAGAGAGAGAGAGAGATAGAGAGTGAAGGAGAGAGAGAGAGAGAAGGAGAGAGAGAGAGAGAGAGAGAAAAAAAAAGAGAGAGAGAGAGAGAGAGAAAGAAATCGGACAAGTAGGCGGACCAGGGTCCGTCCGCGAGGCGCACTGCGGTGCGACAACTCGCATGCACTATTAGCGGCGGTGCAGCCTTAAGATACGAGGGCGGGCTACAAAACCCCCTCCCCCGGCGCAGTGCGACAGACGCTACAGACGGCGGACAGACGATGAAGATCTCACCTGACAGACCGCGTGAGGTAAAAGGCCCCAACAAGAAAGGCGACGTGCTGGCACGTGGCTAGGCGGCTTGGCGGACCGCCAGTTGGGCGCTTGGCCGCTAAGCGGCGCGCAGTGACGGGGCACCCCCCGCCCCCACGCCCTGACACCGTGGACGCGGAGCCACACGTACACACGGGCAGGCAGAAAGGAGGAGATTAGCGCGGGGCACCAGGTGGAGCGCCGCGGAACGATGACAACATAGCTTGGATGTTGAGTGACGGCACGACACCATCGGGCGAGGTCGTGAGCAGCTCGGCGAAGGCTCGCCCAGCGCTGTGGAGGCGCTGGAGTAGAGGACCTTGACGAGCTTGGGCAGCGGCGAGGTCCGCGGCGAGAGCTAAGCACCTCTGCTGAAGGGCAGCCATAGCCTGTGACAGCTCGGTTTCACGGTCGGTGAGAGGTGGCTGCTCAGTGACATCCGCCGAGGATCTCGAGACAGAGGCGAGGTCCTCGGTACGCCTGTCCAGGTGGGCTAGCGGCGTGCGGGACCCTGAACGCTGACGTCCGTCACCCTTGAAAGGTGACTGGAGGGGCCGGCGCGACCCCAGGGCTGGAGCCGCTAGGGCCGCGCCCCGAGAGGTCAGGGGAGCCGCTTCCTCTCGCTCAGCAACGGAGGAAGCGTGGGTGGGGCACGAGGGCCTGTCTGGTTTAGTACCCTGCAGAGAGAGAGAAAGAGAGAGAGAGAGAGAGAGATAGAGAAAGAGAGAGAGAGAGAGAAAACAAAAAAAGAGAGGAAAGGAGCGAGAGAGAGAGAGAGAACAAACAAAAAAGAGATGGAGCAGGAGAGGGGGAGGGGAGCCCCGAGCGCATCCCCGACGCAGCGTCCTGCTCGTTGTTGGCACATGCTGCCCCCTGCTCCTCGAAGCCCCTCCGCCAGCGGCACCTCCTGCAGCGGCACGCGACGCGCCGCCCGGTCCGCGACCTGCCCTTGTGCGCTCGAGGTCCCGCGGGCCCGCGGTTCGCTTCGGTGTCCGCCGCGAGAGCGCGGGCGGGCGGTGCGTCGTCGACGGGGGTGCAGCTGCACGAGTCGAGCAGTTCTGCAGATCCACCTCCTCCCTCCCTCCCTCCCCCCCACCTCTGACTTCTTTTCCCCTCCTCGGGGGCGGAGGAGGGGGGAGTCTGCTTGGTGTGCCGCTCCTCGGGGGGGGGGGGGGGAGGATTGAGGTGGAGGTGTAGCGTTCCTCTTCTCCGCCCCCCCTCCCAACAGAAGGAGCAGCCCCGTGGATACCCTTGGGCCAATAAAGGGGACCATTTGCTCCCAATCATTTTCACTGGGCGACGACAGGTTGCGCACGCGCTCCAGATTCCGCACACCCCTCACACGAGTCGTGGCCCCATGGGGAGCTCCACCTGCGGCCCGACTGGGCGCCAACGTGTGGCGCACGCGCCCGCGGGTCGCCGCTTCCCTTACACTGCTCGTGGCCGATGGCGAGCTCCACTTCGGGTTTCAGCGGGCGCCGGCATACGGTGGAGACGCGTGTTAAGGAATAGTCCCAGGAGGCGCCAGACCCTGGAGGATTCCTTATCCAATGAGGGCGGCGGTGAATTCCGCTGGCTTCCAGACCCTGGATTCTTGATCCAATGGTTGCTTATCCAATGCCCTCACCGTATGGCGCATGCGCCCCCAGTCCGGCACGCCTGTCACGCCCTTCGTGGCCCCATAAGGGGGGGCTTGGACCGACGCGCGCAGGAGGGCGCGGCGCCGACGCGCATGGCTAGGGGCCGCGGCGCCGACGCAGGGCGGCGACACGCGCCCATGTCGACACGCCCCTCACGCGCGCCGCGCCCCCAGAAGGGGGGTTCCGCCTGCGGTCTCCAGTGGGCACCGACGCGCGGCGGCGCCGCGCCCACTGCGGCACACCCCTCGCGCGCGCGGTGGCCCCACAGGGGGGGGTGCCACCTGCGGTCGCCGTGGGCGCCGAGCTGCGGCACCGCGCCCCCCCCTCCTCTTCGGCGCACTGGGCGTTTTCGGTTTTTCGTTGACGGCTCGATTTGGGTTCTGGCCCCTCTTCGGCGCACCCCTTGCGCGCCTCGTGCTCCTCGCGGGCCGTCGCGCGCGGCCCTGGCCAGGGACCGCACGGGCGGCGGCGCTAGGGCCGTGGCCCCAGAAGGAGGCTGCACCTGCGGCCCCCGCGGCAGGGTCCGCATGGCGGCGCCGCCCACCTCGGCACACCCCTCACGAGAACCGTGGCCTTGGCATCGCTCGGACCTGTGCATTTTTTCTCGGCGAGGAGCATCCTTGATCATTTGGCGGAAAAACCACGCATGAATCCGAAAAAAGCACAGGGAATGGACGTCCGAGCGATGGCCAGCGGCCCCATAGGGAGCTCCACCTGCGGCCCCCGTGGCAGGGTCCGCATGGCGGCGCCGCCCATGCGGGCACACTTCTCACGAGGCCCGTGTCCCTATCTGAGGCTTCACCTGGGCCATGGTGGGAGGGTCCGTATGGCTGCGTCCTCCAT